CAGGAGAGGTTCGGAGGGTTAGGGGCCGGCCCAGGTGCGCCCCTCATAGCGGGGCCAGTTTTGAGCACAGAAAGTTGGCCAAAGGTCTCCGGCATCTGGATCCTCAGAAAGCCCTGGAATGGGCAGATGATTGTAGGTGGGAGGCTGCGGATGGGGGGGGGTGCTTGGACCCAGACAGGGGCCCCAGCAAGGCCAGCCCGCAGCCCCACCCCATCTCCGGCCTCCAGTACTGGATTCTCACTCTCCTGTCCTGACCTTTTGTGAGTGACCTCTCCCGGGACTGGGCTGTGACCCCAAGTCCCCAGAGATGGGAACAGCCTGTACTAGGCAGAGGTTCCCAGGCTCAGCCAGACCTCCCTTCCAGGCAAGGGGTCAGCTGTCACCCCCGGCCTCAGCTGGGGCTGGGCAGGGGTGCAATGCGGGCAGGGAGCTATTCTCTGAACCCCAGCCCAGCCCAATCCACAATATAGCGCCTGCCTGTGTGCACGTGTGAGCCGGGCGTGGGGACCGGCCGTTTTCCCGTCTCCTGTCATCTGTCGCCTGCTGCTCCTCTCCCCTCCTGGGGCCCCCTGGAGTCTACCCAGCACATTCCCCAGTGCAGGGGGGGCTCCCTTCCCTGCCACCTGGGGGCTGTGGGAGGCCAGCCTCCCCTTCTGTCCCCCTCCCTTCACCGGGAGGTGAAGCCCAGGAGTGTCTTCGCTCCTGCCTAACCCCACTCCCTATCGGACTTTCCCAGAAGAGGAAACTGGCTCTCAGGCGGCCCATCACCAGTCGGAAACCTGGATAGAGATAGAGGTCATGGGCGGGCTGCTGTCTGCGACCCGCCAGCCGCCAGCCGCAGCTGCCGGGGAGGGGGCTGGGGCCAGGCAGCGCCTCCACCACTGGGCTCCCCAGCCTCTCCTTTGAGCTGCCCCGGACGCGGACGCGGGAGGGGACAGGCCATCCTTCTGGGGAGGGTGTCGGCCTCTGGCTCATAATCTTCCAGGGAGAAGCCAGCGAGGAAGGGGAGACAGGGAAGGAGAGACAAAGACAGAGACAAAAACAGAGATAGAAAGAGACAAAAATATGGAAACAGAGGCAAAGGCCGAGGCTTCTGCCAGCAAGCGCCAGAGGGAGGGAAGGGCAGAGGGGAGCAGGGAGCGGACTCTTGGAGAAGGAGCAAAAAGGGGGGGTCGGAAGACCAAAGAGACCTCGTGGGGGAAGGAGGGCCTAGAGGGGCCGCACAGGCTGGTCCAGATCCCCGCTCAGCCGTCGTGTGGCTGTGTGACCGGGCGCAAGTCACTTAACTTCTCTGGGGTTATTTCTTTATCTATAAAACGGGAAGCACGATAGCACCCACGTTTTAGGATGGCTGAGAGATGGAAGAGGTCGCGTGGCCCCCGCGCGCATGTAACTGTGGGCGGTGACTGCGGATGGAGGGGGGTCTCCAGAGGGAAATGGCGTGTGGGGAGCTCTGGGGCATCGGGCTTCCTGGGCCCCCTCTCCCGCCTCTGCCCCACCCCCACATAGGGCATGGGAGGGGCCCAGTCCCTCTGTTTCAGAGGGGGACAGATGGACAGTGAGGGCACAGGGTCAGGGCCAGGCCGAGTGGGCACAGCCCCCGCTCTCCAGGTGACTCAGTGCCCCGCACGACGGTGCCCTCATCCCTTAGGAACTCGGAGGCGGCAGCCAGGAGGGCAGGTCCGGAGCCGCCTTCCACTCTGTATGGGTGGAGGCTCCTTTTGAACCCCAGTTTCCGGCCTCCTGCCGTCCTGGGTCCCGAGGGCCCTGGAAGGAGGGAGCAGTTCCTCTGGCCCGTGAGCCGGGGTGAAGCCACAGCCTCCAAACACCCCTCTCTCACCCCCGAGCCCCACAGAGTCAGGTCAGGGCTTCCTGGGGTCAGAAGGGGGCTCGGGGGTTATCGGTCCATCCGCTCGGCACACGTGTGGCTTCTGCCCGCCGGGAGCAGGAACGCGCCCTGACCCCACAGAGGTCCCTTCCAGTGGGGGAGACAGACGCTCATGAGCACAGGGTGAGGGGGCGTGCGGGCTGGGAGGGGACGTGGGGGGCGGCCTGACCACTAACAGCCCCGGGGGAGTAAGACTGAGGGGTGTCCCAGCCGGGAGGGGAAACCGGATCACAGACACCCCCCACAGGCCCACCCGGCTTGCAGGGTTCCAGGGGCTGCGAGCTCCTAGGACAGCCCCGCTCGGTCCCCCCCGCCCCCCCTCCCCAAGGGGGACACGGTCCGAGCCTTTGGCTGGCGCCTGGGGATATGCTGGTCCCTGTCGTGTGGAGCCGGCCTCCCCGGAGAGCAGCCCAGGGCTCCTCCGGGCCGCGGGGTCTGCGGTGACCGGGCTGAGCGCCCGCAGGCCGGCCAAGGTGGGCAGCCACTGAGGGCCATCCCGCGAGAGGCTGTGAGGACGGGCCCGGGCGGGCCTGGCTCCCGGGGACCCTTTCCTGTGCTGTGGGGAGCCACAGAGGGCATTAGAGAGGGGCAGTGGCCAGAGCAGAGCTGTGCTTTCCGAGGGTGTCTGGGGGTGGCAGTGAGCAGGGGGGGGGGGCAGAAGGAGAGTTGCACCCTGGCCCGTGTCATCTGGGGGGCTCCCTCCACCCACCGCTTTATTCTTGAAGCAGGTTCTAATCCTGTTGTTGCCTCTGATGACCAGTCATTTCACCTGAGGCCTCTGTGAGAGGAGACCGCCTGTGAACGCAGGGGGCCATCGCTGGCACCCACGGGTGGCAGCAAGGGCCCAGCTGGCTCCGGCGCCAGCCCCCAGTGGCACGCGATCCGCGTTTGGTGATTCACAATCCCTGCAGTTTCCCTGTTTCCTGATGAGTAAACAGGTCGGGCTGAGGACCCTCTAGCTTCTGTTTCCTGAGCCACAGAGAACACAAGGCCGGCCCCTCACCCCTGCCCCCTTCCCGCCCAGCCTCTGGCTCACACACAGGCTTCCTGTCCCTCCATCCGGCACACATTCCTGGCTGGAAGGCCCGCCCGGCTGCGCTGCGGGCGGGAGGGGCTGTGTGCCTGCGTGTGCGGGCGTGTGCATGTGAGTGCCCAGTGGCCTCGGAGTGGGGCAGCCGCACGCAGGTGGCGCCGGGTCAGAGTGCGGCCCGAGCGCAGCTCCCACGCCACACCCGAGGACGGATTCCCTGGTGCAGTGAACACACTGCACAACTGCGCTGTACCTGGCACCCTTGATATAGGAAAGGAAGGAGAGCGGCGGGAAGACACAGACCAAGAAACTGATGGAGGAAGGGAAAAAAAGGCAGAAAGCAAAGAGTTTTTGACGAGGAACAAGACAAAAACAAAGAGGCTGGAGCCCGGAACGTAGCGGATTCTGTTTCCGCACCTGGCGCACCGAGCGGCTTCTGGCCTGAGGCTCTGTTCCAGCCCCCACTGCACCCTGTGAGATGTGGGGGTGATTCTCCCAGCTTACAGATGGGGAAATGGAGGCTCACAGGGCTCAAGTGATATGCGTGTGACAACTTGTAAGCCCTAGAACCTGCAGATTCCAAAATGGGAGGGAGGACGGGGAGACAGACCAGAGGAGGGGCCGGGACCCAGCAAGGCGCTGGAGGTGGTGCCCCGGCTGGGGGGTGCGGGGGGGCGGCAGAGCCCAGGCGGTCCCACTCATCAGCCGGCTTTGGCTTGAAGACGAACCTGGCCGGCAGCCCACGGTTCTGAGGGATCAGGTTTTGTGGGGGGTCTGGCCCCTTCCCACCCCCACTTCGCTTCTCTGCGCCAGCAGCTGAGGCCCCATTCCCGGATCCTCGTGGGGGTTCTTCGGGAAAAAAAGCAGCAACAAACAGCTTTTCTTGGAATTAATACTCAAAGGGTACGGCGGCGCCGAGGGCAGTGGGGGACAGGGATGGGCTCGGGGGGCCTGGGACCCGGGCCGCCATCCTGGTGACAGCGACCTTAACTCCTGTATGAGTCCTCGGGACAGCCTATGATCCCCATTTTGCAGACCAGGGACCTGAGGGCTGGCATTCACCGCAGGCGCGGGCGTCCTGCGCCACCCCACCGCCTGCGGAAGAGCCCGGAGGAAGCCCCTCTTGCTCTCTGCCTCCTGGAGAAATCGATCTGGCGTCCTGTCCACCAGGAGCTCAGACCCAGAGTCCCGTCCCTCCTGCTGAAGGGGCTGGGGCACCAGGAGGGCAGGGGCTCCCCATTGGAGGGAGGGGATCCCGCTGGGCTGCGTGGAGGAGGAGCTGGGGCTGGGGCTCTGGAAGCCCTGCGGGGGGGTGGGGGGGCAGGGCCTGGCGGGGGCGGCGGGGGGCGGGGCAGCAGCGAGGTGGAGGAGGGAGAAGCTCGGCTTTGACTGCAAACCCGTCCAGAACCCACGTTCCCACGCCTCTGGTGTGTCCGTGTGGCAGACCCCTCCCCCTCCCCCCCCCACGCCACCGACCGCTCCCTCCCCTCCCCTGCCTTCCTCCCCCTCCCCGCCCCCCCCTGCATAACTGAGGCTGCTACACAGGGATGCAAAGCCCCTGGGATTTCCGCGGGGGCCAGCTTGCTGGGAAGCGTGGGCCGAGGCTGCCCCAATCTGGGTTTTGGCCCCTGCTGGTTGTGTGGCCCGGGCGGGGGACGTACCCGCCCCGCGTCCTCACCTGGAGAGGGCGCACTACACCTACCGCCGGCGTTTACGCAGCTCCCTACCGTTCTCCACGCAGTAAATGATGCGCCTTGTGAGGGGAGGCGGCAGGCGGGTCAGGGCCTCAGTGTCCCCAGCCCCTGGGGGACAAAGTCTCAGACAGGAACAAGCTGGGGGGCCAGGCCGGGGCTCTGGGCTCCGGGTCAGGCCTGTGTCCCTTCCCTCCTCAGGGGCTGAGGTCCCTCAGGCCAAACACTCCTCCTCGCGGCCAGGACCTCCCACCCCCCCTCCCTGCGGACCACCCACTGGGGGTGGACACCCCCCTCCAGTCCCACCGCGGACCAGCTGGGGTGTCCTCCTCGGCATCCGGCATCCATCCAACATCCATCTGGGAACCCAGGCCCTCTGGGAAAACCATCGCCCCCACCCCTCCAGCCAGCTACTCTCGGGTTGTCATGGCCAAGCCCTCCTCACGCCCCCCTGCCCAGCTCCAGAGGCCTCAGGTGAACCGTTTCCTCTAGAAGCTGGTCTGGGAGGCAGTGACTGTCTTCGGGGCTCCGACCTGACCTGTCTCCATGGGATATGTCCCCCTGCAGCCTTGAGCTCTGGCGACAGATCTGGGAGAGGGGGTCCCTGTGAGGCTGGACGCGAGGCTCACCCAGGGGCCAGGGTGATGATTTGAATCCAGACTGAGCCCCAGTGCGGAGAAGACCTTGGGGTGGAGAGGGTGAGATGTGTGACACCTGGGGGCCCTGCCAGGGGGGAGGGGTCAGCTGGGAGCCCACGGGGACGCCCTGGAGGTGGGCCCTGGACCTGGGAAGGTGGCCAGTGCAGGCAGGGTGGAGGGGATCATTTGCGGATGGCGGGAGAAGGGACGATGTGGGGGTGCTCTGGCACAGACCGGTGACCCTCTGAAGGACACTTCTGACTGGCCAGGCCCGCCGAGAACAGGCTCTCTCCCCCGCAGTGCCTGGGGGTGGGGGGCACAGTGCTCTGCTCAGACACAAGCTAACAGAGAGAGGCTTCTGGCCTGCCCCCTGCACCCCACCTTCCGGGTTCAGGGTGTCTGGAGGAGGAAGCCCAGGACCCTGCTCCCCTCCCCCGCATCACACATTCTAGCCAGGCTCTATTTCCTGTTTTCAGGCTCTGTATCCTGAGCGCTGGGATCCCCCAGGACGCTCCCTGGCCCCCCAGGCCCCCGGCCCGGCGCCCAGCTGCCCAGCCGCCCAGCCGCCCTGCCCTGGTTCAGCTGATTTCTCAGGCTGGAGGAGGCCATAGCGGCCTGGTGAGTTACCGGAGGACTGCGGACGACTGGGGAGCACAGAGAAGGGTAGGGGAGGACGTGTGCCCTTGGGGAGCGGTGACAGAGCCACCAGCCAAAGGGCCACAGGGAGGAAAGCCCACGGGGCCAGCAGCCAGTGTGGGGGTGAGACAGCGGGAGGCATCTCTGGGGCGGGAGCCGAGGGAGGGCGACATGGGGTTAAGTCAGGGAGCACCTCTCTCACTCAGACCTGGAGGACTGGAGCGCTGCCCTGGGGACCCTGGGAGTGTGTGGGTGGGGGGCGTGGGGTGGGGCCAGGCGGCATTCCAGAGATACTCAGGGGGGTGAGGGGCCGGCCACTGCAACCTTTCTCTCTTCTCTGGAAAATTATAAGCAGATGTGGGCGCCTCAGGGCGCAGAGAGCAGGGAGCCAGCACAAGTGACAGCAACACTAACTCAGAACCTGGGCCCGGCCGCGGGGGCGGGCCCTCGGGAGTTCAGCCCCTCCCCGCTCGGGAGCCAGAACGGGGTCCTGACCTGCTTCCCACCCACCAGGGCGAGGCCAGGCTGGAGGGGGTGGAGAGGAGCTGTTTCCAGCTGTTTCCAGATGGCTGATGGGGTGGGTGGCCAGAGGGAGGTGGGGGCTTCTTCCTTCTGAGGTCAGGCTGGGGATCCTGGGGCTGGGTACTGAGGTGCACTGGCCAGGGTTTAACAGGCGCCTCTGGGGGGTGCGGATGGGGCTGCCCTGGTCTGTGGTGCCGGCCCATGTCCCCCCATAAGTAACCGGAGCCTGATTTCAAGCTACTGACGTGTCCTCTGTGAGCGGGGAGTTGGGTAGAGACGCGCACGGTGGTCTCCCAGGAGCCGGGGCGTAACAGTGGTGGTGGGGGGTCTTCTGGGCCACCTGGCCCTGTCCTGGCAGTTGTGCTCAACTAGGCCAGGGTGGTTTTGGCTTCTACTTGCAGACATGCGGTGATGGGAACGTCCCCGATTGAGGTGGCCGATTCTTTTTTTTTTTTAATGTTTTATTTATTTCTGAGAGAGAGAGACAGTGTGAGCAGGGGAGGGTCAGAGAGAGAGGGAGACACAGATTCTGAAGCAGCTCCAGGCTCTGAGCTGTCAGCACAGAGCCCGACGTGGGGCCTGAACCCACGAACCGCGAGATCATGACCCGAGCTGAAGTTGGACGCTCAACTGACTGAGCCCCCCAGGCGCCCCGAGGTGGCCGATTCTTTAAGCACCTGTGACTGCTGGACAGTCCTTCCTCCAGCCACGCCTAGGGGGCCTCCCCCCCTGACTTGCCCATTGGCCCTGGTTTCACACCTTGGTACCAATGTCAACGTGCCCTGGGCTGGGGCTCAGAGGCAGGATCCCCGCCTCTAGAGGTCACCGCCCCCCCACTCCCCCGAGAGGCACTGGTGTGTGTGAGTGAGTGGAGCTGGGAGGGACGGGGGCACAGTCTGCAGAGGAGAGGGGTGACGAGGAGAGAAGGCTGGGGGCAGAGGCAGCCGTCTCTGGACACTTGTCCTTCAGGCTCGTGGCTGCGGTGCCCGTCCCTGCTCTGTGCTTGGCCTCCGCGATGTCACCAGCTCTGCGCCCCCTCCTCCTCCTGGGCCTGGGCCTGCTGGCTGGAGCCCTCAGCCCCAGCGACCCCAACAGCTGCAGCTTCTGGGAAAGGTGAGGGGCGCTTGCTGCCCCCCGGTCTCCTCCCCCTCTCCTCCCAGCCTCCCCGCCGCTCTCCAGCCCTCCCCTCCCCACTGGTTCTGCTCTCTCTGCTCCCCCTGAGGCCCCCCGGGTCCCCCTGCCCCCTGTCCTGAGGTCTCCCCTAACTCCAGCTCTGACCCCCTCCTGTCCTTACACCCCACCCCCCGCCTCCGCCCTGCAGCTTCACCACCACCACCAAGGAGTCTCACTCCCGCCCCTTCAGCCTGCTCCCTCCGGAGCCCTGTGACCGGCCCCGGGAGAGCCCCCACAGCTGCCCCCGGCCCACGTGAGTGCCCACCCGACCCCACCGCGGGCGGACGCGCTGCCTGGCCGCACACGGCCCCGCACACCCTCAGTCTCTCCTCAGAGACCTTGCAGCGCAGAGGAAGCATCGAGGCGTGGCTTGGGGGGGCTGCTGTGGGGTGCGCCGTGGGGGTGGGTACGGAGCAGGGAGGGAACGCTCCTTCCGTGCACCCCCAGCCCCGAGTGGCGAGCGGTGCCCCTGCCTGCCCCGGTGCCACGCGGTGGGCGGTGGGGACAGCCCGGCCCCGGCAGGGGGGCTGAGGGCCACCTTGCCGTCTCCGCCAGTGTTGTCTACAGGACGGTGTACCGCCAGGTGGTGAAGACAGACCACCGGAAGCGTCTGCAGTGCTGCCGGGGCTTCTATGAGAGCAGTGGGATCTGTGTCCGTGAGTCCTGGGGGGCCGTGGGTGCGAGGGTCTGGCCCACCCCTCCTCATCCCTCCTGGCAGCCCCGGGTGGGTCCCCGGGACAGCAGCTGCCACCTGCTACCTGTGTCCCTAGCTGACCCCATGTTTCTCCCGCCCCTTCTCTCTGAGTCCTGGAATAGTCTCTCTCTGTATCTCTGTCTCTGGGCTGCCTGTGTCTCTCTGTCACTGTGGGTCTGGGTCCGTCTCTATCTCTTCCTATCTCTGTCTGCCTCTGACTTGTCACTGCCCAGTCTCTCCTGCACCCCTGTGCCCCGAGCCCCCGACTGGAGCCTGCTCTGCCTCTCTGCCCCCGCCTCAGTCCTGCCTGACCCATGCCCAGCCCACCCCCCTGCGCAGCATCCGTGTCTGGTCCCTCCCTGAGGCACTCCTGTCCCTTTCCCCAACAAGGTGTTTGGAGAATGTCACAGACAGGGGCTGGGGGGCCTCGAGTTCTGAGCGTCCGTTGAGTCCTGGCCCTCAGTCTTCTGGGTCTCAGAGGCAGAAGTGCTGGTGCTTCTGGGGAGTGTCAGCCCCTCCCCCCACCGGGGCACAGGAAGGTGGGCGTGTGGGGGCAGGGGAGGCACGTCTCACTCCCCGGTCTCTGCCCCAGCGCGCTGTGACCAGGAGTGTGTCCACGGCCGCTGCGTGGCGCCCAATCGGTGTCAGTGTGCGCAGGACTGGAGGGGCGAGGACTGTTCCAGCGGTGAGTAGCTGGCGGCGCAGGTCACACCCCCGGCCAGTCCCCCACACCCGCGAGAGCCCCACAGCAGCCGCTGCCCTTTCGGGAGAGGGGGTGCTACAGGGTGAGGGGGGCCGGGAGACAGAGCCGCGGACTGAGAGGAGGCCGGGGAGGGCTGAGAGCCCTGGTGACTCCCCTCTGCCCTCCCCGCCCCCAGGCTGTGCCCCAGGGGTGTGGGGGCTGCAGTGCGACAAGCCCTGTCCCTGCGGCAACGGCAGTTCCTGTGACCCCAAGAGCGGAGCGTGCTCCTGCCCCCCCGGCCTGCGGCCCCCACGCTGCCTGGAGCCCTGCCCCCCCGGCCACTATGGTCCCGCCTGCCAGTTCCGCTGCCAGTGCCACGGAGCACCGTGTGACCCCCAGACCGGAGCCTGCTTCTGCCCCCCGGAGAGAACTGGGCCCAGGTGCGTGATGGGGTCGTAGACAGCAGACCCCACGGGCAGACATGAGGATCCGAGGGGACTCAGACAGGGTCCCAAGTGGGGCGGGATGGAGAGGCCAAGGCCCTCGTCTCAGCTGGGCCACCCGCTAGTTGAGGGACCTTGAGCTCGTGTCCTGTCTGTCCCCACCTGCAAGGCTTGCTGTGAAGACGCCACGAGCCTGCATGTGTGTGAACATGTTGTAAAGTGGGGCGGACGCAGGGCCCCAGGACGGCCCCTGGCAGGAAGCGCAGGCAGACTGGGGGGGCGTGCACGGGATAAAGGTCGAGGGTCCCGCCTCGCAGAGGAGCTGGGAGGTGAGCCTTCCGGGACAGGAGTGTCCTCAGCAGCGACCAGCGGGGCGGACGCCTCCCTGGGCCGGGGGTTCAGGACTTGCCAGGGAGAAGTGTGCAGGCGGCCAGCCCGGGGAGGGGAGCGGGGCACCGGCTGCTTGTATGCCCGCTGACCGGCCGCTTTGCCCCGCAGCTGTGAGCTGTCCTGTGTGCGGGGCGCTGTCGGCTTCTTCTGCCCCAGCACCCATCCCTGCCACAACGGGGGCGTCTTCCAGGCTTCCCGGGGCTCCTGCAGCTGCCCGCCGGGTTGGATGGTAGGCGGGCTGGGGCGGGGTCCGGGGGTTCTCAGCAGGACTGGGAGGAGGATGCCTGTGAAGGGGGTGGGCTCTGGGGACCCCGCAGAGGTTTGGAGTATGGGGGTATCAGGGGTGCTGCGCCCAGGGGGAGGGGCCGGGCGCCGGGGCTCTGTGCACCTCTGCCTCTCCAGGGCACCATCTGCTCCCTGCCTTGCCCGGAGGGCTTCCACGGACCCAACTGCTCCCAAGAGTGTCGCTGTCACAATGGTGGCCTTTGCGACCGCTTCACTGGGCAGTGTCGCTGCGCTCCAGGCTACACGGGGGATCGGTGAGAGGCTTTGGCGCGGTGGGGGTGGGGGGGGGCTGGGAGGGGGTGGGCGCCGCCGGGCTCACTCGGCAGGCGCCCAGGTGCCGTGAGGAGTGTCCCGTGGGCCGCTTCGGGCAGGACTGTGCGGAGACGTGCGACTGCGCGCCCGGCGCCCGCTGCTTCCCGGCCAACGGCGCGTGTCTGTGCGAACACGGCTTCACGGGGGACCGCTGCACCGAGCGCCTCTGCCCCGACGGCCGCTACGGCCTCAGCTGCCAGGAGCCCTGCACCTGCGACCCGGAGCACAGCCTCAGGTGCGCCGAGGTCGCCCCCCCCCCCGCAGGGCGGGGCAGGCCATGCCCAAGGGCGGGACCGATGTCACAGAAGGCAGAGGGAGGGGCTTCGGGGACGGGGCGGGGGCGCGCTCGCAACGCACCCCCCTTGCCCCCGGTTCCGCGAAGCCGGGCGCGCGCTGCGCGGAGGGGCCCGGGGAGGAGGCCGCGGACGCCCCTCCGCTCTGACGGCGCCGCTCCTCCCGCCGCAGCTGCCACCCGATGAGCGGGGAGTGCGCGTGCCTGCCGGGCTGGGCCGGCCTGCACTGCAACGAGAGCTGCCCGCAGGGCACGCACGGGCCCGGCTGCCAGGAGCACTGCCTCTGCCTGCACGGCGGCGTGTGCCTGCCCGACAGCGGCCGCTGCCGCTGTGCGCCCGGCTACACGGTGAGGCGCGGCCCGCGGGGGCTCCGGGGCGCGGGGCGGGGGCAGCCGGGCCGCCGCCTCACAGTCCGCCCCCGCCTTCAGGGCCCGCACTGCGCCAGCCTCTGCCCCCCTGACACTTATGGAGTCAACTGCTCCGCACGCTGCTCCTGCTTCAACGCCCTGGCCTGCTCGCCCATCGACGGCGCCTGCGTCTGCAAGGAGGGTGAGGGCGTGGGTCTGTCTCCGGGGAGGGGCGACGTGGGGGCGGGCCCACGGGGGGGTAGGCGGGCCCAGGGCGGGGGCGGGCCCACGGGGAGTAGGCGGGCCCACGGGGGCGGGGGCGGGCCC